AAATCTCCAAGTTGCAAAACGTCCTCTCGAAGCAAGGTCGAACGCCAGGAACTCGTTCAATGTTAAGGACATTTCGTGAAGCGAGATATCTACGATAATTCTTTGAAATTCATTTCGCACTTTATAAGAGAAATTCTTTTCAATAGCATTTCTACGTTGTAATCCATTTAATTTGATTGACTTCAAATGTACTATTTCATTCAACTTTCATTCCAATTGTAAACAAATTTTTAATATAATATTTTTATTAATTCGATTTTATAAGAAACTACGTGAATTTCGACGATGGATTTTTTTTTTTTAAATTGAATCCTAACAAATAGAAATAATTCCAAATGTTGGATTTTCTGTCATTGAAATCTTTAAGAACAATTGATTCGTACAATTTATTTTTTCATTAATTGAATCATAAAGTTAGAAACTTAATTTCTAAGTAATGGATTTTATGACATTGAATTCTAAATAAAGGAATTTAGAATAAATTTCAAATTTTTATAAGATAAAGAACAGAAAAATAAATTGAGAGTAAAAAAAAAGAGAAAAGAGAAGAAGAAAAAATGATAAAAAAGAGAACAAGAATATAATATAACGTAAGAGAGATCATTTATAAATAACCAACCTCGGGATTAAAAATAAAACGATTTCGCACCATATCCATATCCAAAGAAAGAAAAAAGAGAGAAGAAAAAATTGTAACGTGTTTTGGCGCCACGATAAATCATCCTCTTTGACAGAGAGGGTAAGAGAGAATGAAAGAAAGAAAGAGAGAGAGAGAGAGATAGAGATAAACAGATACAAATAAAGAGTTTTCGATTTCATTGGATACGAAAAGGATGATGACGAAAGCAGTCAGAGTAAAGTTGGTTAAAAGGAATTTAGTGGAAAGTCTCCCCCTCCATCCTAGCCTCCCTCAGTCGGTGAATAAGTTTGATTCTTGTTTGTTGCTCGTTGGACCGGTCATTCAAAGGCTATTTAATTTTTCTTTTTCTTTTTTTCGTCTTTTTCTTTTTTGTAAAGGTCCATCTTTTAAGTTATATCTTTTCTCTCAAGATACAACGTCTTCGAATAAATGATAAAAGAAAAATCGAAACTCGATCGTCGTAGCTTTACACGAGAGAGTCCGACCTTTGTTATTTCATTTGAATTCTCATCTCGTAAGGACCTTTAACGTTCTTCATCGTTGTTGTTGTCGCCATCCTCTTCGTCGAAGAGAAAGGATTTCAAACGAAATATTTTATCATAATGTACATATATATATATATATATATATATATGTACGTTATTGGGGTAACATTTTATTATCGTCAAAAATGATAGGATCGAAATAAGATGAAGCGTCTTTTAAAATGTCTTTTAGGTTGATTCGATTTAAGGAACATGTTTGGTGGTTATTCCGGTTTCTCGAGAACCGGATATCAACTTGACCTACTTTGTAACATCGACATTGTTGAAACGATCTACATTTCGTTACGGTCAACCGTATTGACCGTATGGAGTATGACCTTAGCATTGACGAACGTCCCAGGTACAACACCCCCTTCTCCTTTATATCGTATATACCTATACATATACATACTTATGTACTATCTATCTAGTAATGTATATTTGTTTATATTTTCAATCTCTTGAATATCTTATTCTATCGATCGTGTCCATTCGTTCGTAATCTTCTAATTTTATTATACAAGATGTTGTTCTTTATTATTACTTTTATATAGATATTTAATATGATAATATATAACATTAATATATTATTATATATTATATAGATATATATGCATATGTATGAGAGAGAGAGAGAAAGAGAGAGAGGGAGAGAGAGAGAGAGAGTAATTTTATATGATTAGATATGAAATTTAATTAAAAAAACAAAAAAAAAGAAAATTCATATATAAGAATCAATTTATTATTATTATTATTATTTTATTATTATTATTATTATCATTATTATTATTATTATTATTATTATTATTATTATTATTATTATTATTTGTTTCGGTTCAAAAACAGAAATATATTTTGATGACTCTTGAATTCTGACGAACTGTGACATATTTATTTTCACAAGAGTCTTAAGGCTCTATGTAACTTGGAATTGTTTGGAAAAAGAAAAAAACCACATAGAGTAAGAGAGTAAAGATGTCGCAAAGCTGTTTGCGAAAGTAGGAAGCGATTATGAAAATGTCGAGCGGGCGCAGAAATGATTTCTGGTTGTTATTACACAAACTGTAACAGGGATTATTCTTAACTCTTACAGTGTTTACTAAGAAGAGAATTCAAACGTGTAGGTATATGAGCGCATCTTTCTAATCTTAAGAAAGTTACAATTTCTCTCTCGAAGTTTGCAACACACAAAGAGAGAGAGAGAGAGAGGGAGAGAGAGAGAGAGAGAGAGAGAGAGAGAGAAAGAAAGAGTGAAAATGAGAGTCGCAATCGTAAACAAGTGAGACATTTTTCTTTTTTCTATTGTATTTCAAAATGAATAATAAGCGCGATAAGTGACAAAAGAAATAGAAAAGACAAAAAAATTGATGAGGAAGAAGAAGAAGAAGAAGAAGAAGAAGAAGAAATGTATATCATAGCTAATGAATGATCGATTACAAGAAATAAAAGAAAAGAGAAAAAAAAGTGGAGGATATTTTGTACGTGTAAGAGGAAGAGGAAAAAGAAGAAAAAGAAATAGAAGAAGAAGAGGAAGAAGAAGAAGTAGAAGAAGAAGAAGAAAAAGAAAGGACTTTCTCCCGAGCATTGCTCCTTATCCGCTTTCCCTGATATCCGTCCGCGTGCTGATTTCGCGTAGGTATAATCTCGCAAGGACGAACTTATTGCCAACGATCGATTTTTTCTTTTCTTCTTTTTTTTTTTTTTTTTTCTTTCATAAACAGGCTTTCTCGAACGAGATTTTTTTCTCATATATGAAACTCCCTCTCATTGAGTATATATAATATTATTATATCTTTAATATCTTTATCATATATTATTTTCATAACTTTATATATATATATATATAAATGATAATAATAATAATAATAATACAATTTAATATCAAATTATATAACAGTTGTTAATATTTTATTATTGAAAATAATTATCATTACGACGATAATAAATATAAGACGTTCTTTGGAATTGAAAGAAATCAAATAAAAAAAAACTCGTTCAAGAATAGTTCCCTTTGGTTAATCGACGATACAGAGACAAGGAAATTGTAGAAATCTTGAAGAATCCATTGCCACTTGGTACCAACGACATTAACGAAAGGTCAGTGAGCAGATTTTCTTAACGTTTACTCGAGAGAGAATCATGCTCGGTTACGTAAGTTCATCCTTTTGCAAATTACCTTTCTCGTCTTCTCTTTCTCGATGATACAATCATCGTATTCTCGATCGCGTTATAATGCGATAATGTTTTGACGATTATCAATTTCTTTGCTTTCCGCGTTCTATTACTTTCTTTATCATTTATAACGGGCCTTGTTTCAATTAGAAAATATTTCTCCTATGGAATGTCGACCGGATCAAGGATGACCGGTGAATAGGTTAACAGCTTCTATTTGTTATTTTCTTTCATTAGAATTTTACGTGGGCTGAGTTTCCATTTCATTTTAATATGGCAAACATAAAATTTTTAAGTTAATATGTTTATCATGTTCGTTCTGAATTTTCTTTCTCTCTTCTTTTTCATTTTTTTTTGTTCTTTTCATTATTTAATATATATATATATATGTATATCCTATTTGATTTTGTTCAAGGGTATGTACGAAAACGTTGGAAAATTTTATGACATTCCATTATTATTTATAATATTCAAATCAATGAGTTCTCTAATTTCATAAAAATGATCTAACCGATGTGATATGTCGTAGTCGTATTGAAATAAACGTGCGTTCTCTCTTTCATTCTTGTTAGTTTGGCGAAATATTCTTCGCGAAGATACCTCAAGGACGTCGAGATGCGACCTCCTCTCACTTTCGAGTCACTTGTCTTCTCTCTCTCTCTCTCTCTTTCTCTCTCTTCTCTCTTTCTATCCATCTATCTATCTCTCTCGAATATACTCCCTCTTCTTTTTTCCTCTTTCTCCAATCGGTTCTCTCTTCTTTCGGTATTTCGGCCAAAGCATTCCCAGAACGAACTCTCGCTGAATTCTTAGCTCGTTCATCGTAAAATGATATTGCATTTGTATATACTGCAACCAAGGCCATATTGTTTCTCTCTCCTTCTTTCTTATTTTATGTTTATTTTTTTTTCCTTTTTTTTTCCCTTCTTTCGAATTTCATTATGAGAGAGAATGAAAAATCAAATTGAAAGGTAAAAAAGAAAAGAAAAAAAATACAGAACAAGTCCCTAAACCTAAATGTATTCGAATGATGTCTGACGAGAATTCAAAATTTTCGTTTTTTCTTTCGAGTTTCTTTTATCTTTTTTTTTTCTTTTATTTCTTTTTGTTTGTTTGTTTTTTTCTTTTTTTTTTTTCTTATCATCTTCCAATCGAAAATTTTCTCCAAGTATCGTGTGCAATCATTCAACGCACATTATCGAAAAGATGCTATAATTGTTGATTTTTTTTATATCATTTTATTTCTCGTGTCATATTAATTTACATTTATACAGCTACTACTTGACGTCTTCGATAGAGACAGATCTTATCTATATACGTGTGTATATATATATATATATATGTATATTTATATATATACATATATATACATATATATATATATATATATTTATATACCTACAGAGATCGTCGCATTTGAGTATGTACGATCTATAAAAAAAAAATCATGAGCTTTTATTTGTCTTTGAAATAATGATCTAATAGATATAATTAAATAAAGAAGCTTTTCTTTTTGCATATAATTCGTTAGAAAAAAAGAAAAAAAAGAAAGGAAAAAAAAAATCCTTACAAAAGATAAGACGAAGATAATTATTTAAGTTCGAAAAAAAAAATGAATCACGTTATAGATAGAAGATAAAGAAGCTCGATCGTGGACGATCTTTATATTCTTTTTTTGTTTCGTTTTTTATTTATTTATTTATTTTTTTTTTTTTTGTTTTTTTTTTTTTTGTTTTTTTTTGTTTCATTTTTTTACTTTTCTTCCATAGGTTACGTCTTCTTGTTTCGTTTTGAATTTAACTTAAGGTTAATTAATATTATCTACTTCTATAATACGCAAAAGCAAAAGGCAAGGTCAAGGACACGTGGACAAGGACGAAGTTAAAGATCGTTTCTTGCTGTTATATTACGCTTTAGAGAAACTTTGATCGTTTGCTTTTGCGGAAAATTAGGTAAGAGAAAGAATTTCTCTCTCCTTCTCTCTCTCTCTCTCTCTCTATCTATCTATCTATCTCTATCTCTATCTCTATTTATCTTTCTTTTCTTATGATTCTTAAAAACCTTTCGATATCTATCCCCTACGATAAGGTTTAGGTTTAACTTGGATTTCTTCTTGTTGCGTTTCCTCGACCTCTTCTTGAACAGGTTTACCTCTCGATGAACCAAATCTGCCACGGCTCGCTGTTGTTGTCCTTGATTCTCCTCCACCCGAATTACCAGCTTTATTGCGACCGCTCGCCGACGTTCTAATAATAATAATAAAAAAAAAAAAAAAAAAAAAAAAAAGAAAAAAGAAAGAAAGAAAAATCAGAATTCCACGTTCGCGTTCGATAAAATTATTCAAATACTATTATTCTAAATTCAATTTACCTCGACTTCAGAGTCGTTGATTCCGTTTGAGCTTGTGTACCTGAGGTTTCACGAGTATGAGTACTTGGTCCAGTCTGAGCACGTCGCCTTTTCAATGCGGCTATCAGATCCTCGTTTGATCTTGAACAACAAGAACGACAACAACGGATTCGTAAAATTATATTCTCTAAGATTAAATCCAATATAAAATCGTTTTTTATATCTAATCATAATGCGTAAGCACGTCCAATAAATGTGTACGCAGGAATGAATATGCGAGTGGATCGTTGGTATATGTTGAAAAAAAAAAAAAAAAAAAAAAAGGAAGAAAACAATAAACACGTGAAATATAAAAATACCTGAAAGGTCTAACACCGCCTCGAACCTTTTTCAAAGATTCGGTCGTCGTAGTGACGATCTCCTCTTGTTCGTGAATCTCCTCGAGCAGTTCCTCACCCTCTTCTTCCTCTTCCAATGGTTGTTGCTCGACTGGTTTAGCGGTCGTAGATTGTGCCTATGAAACGTTTACGTCGCGTCGTATATAAAATACTAAGAGAGGTCATGAAAAGGGAAAGTTTAGAGTAATAAACTGAACGTATACCGGCGTTGCTTTTCTTCCACCGACGTTGACTCGTCCTCTCGAGGATAAGAGTCCTCCCAGTCTACCAGGTGCTGGTTTACTTGGGGCTGGGGTCACAGCGGCCACTGCCTCTTCCTCGTAATCGTATTCCTCATCGGCCGACCTGCAGAGAGCTATTAGGCACAAAGCTAATAATCTGTAATCAAAAGAAAAGTAAAAAATAATAATTAAATATTATAAGAGTTATATAAATGCATATAAGATAATTTAGATATTAGATAATATTTAGTAAATAATTATTGGATTTTATGAGCGTTATATTATAATATGGAGTAAGAAAAGTAGGGATAATAAATTAAAATTTGTTAATATGTAATATTATCGTATATAAATAATTAGATATTATAAAAGTTATAATATGACATGTTATACTTAACAGGCTCGTAAAAGTAGTTAATTTTATCTGGACAGAGATTACATAGGTGTTAGTTTAATAGACCGTATTCGAAATGGAAGATAGCGAAAATCGTAGGTTTTATTTCTGGCACATCCTACTTGATTTCTACCTATGATTAAAATAAAATATACCTAATTATATATCTAAATGTAATATCTAGAGAGAGAGAGAGAGAGAGAGAGAGAGAGAGAGAGAGAGAGAGAGAGAGAGAGAGAGAAAGAAATACTTTTAACAGAGATCAATGGAATCTCATGCATTTTAAGCCGCGCAATTTTTACTCGTGATTAAAATAATCTCTCTACGTAGGTATTAATATATACAAAGAAAGAGAGAGAGAGAGAAAAAGAGAGAGAGAGAGAGAGAGAGAGAGAGAGAGAAAGAGAGAGATAAAGAGATAGAGAAGTCTTACAGAGATCATGGAACCTAATCCGAAGAAAACGTTCTCGCGTCAAGGTTACGATGTTTCTTACGTTACCGTAGACGTTCTTACGTTCCTTAGATATTACTTTCACTCCTTACGTTTCTACTTTACTCGATTCCTCGCCGTATTTCCTACAGAGATACGATTCTACCAGCAGCCATCGATATATATATATATATATATATCGTGTCTCGATGAAAAAGGAAGATTAGATATTAGATTTATATTGTTATGTTCTCGAGGATAAAAGAAAATGGCTTCTCCAGTCGTGGCGAGGTTCAACGGACCGGATCCAATGCGATAAATGAAACCTGGTGATAATCGGTTGCTACGATGTTGCGAGAAGGGTGAATGGCT